GAGATACAGAGAGAGAGAGAGAGATCCTTGATGAGTGCTCTGAAAGGAGAGAACTATAGTCCTCTTAATATTTTTTAATCTCTTCTCTATAATTTATATTATCTTTCTTCCCACTCTTGGGAATTTCCCATTCCTTTCCTTACCCTACAACAAACTGTTGGCTATGGACCGGAATTCAATTATTTGCCTCGCTGAAGCCAAGATTCTGCCTGAAGTAGTTGCTTGGACTTTTTCCCACTGTTACCTTCATTAGCTAGTTATTGAAAGGAAGAGAGTGAAGCAAGTCAGAAATTGTTAAGCATGGTCAGCTGGGAAGCAGAGGCCTATTTGCTTCACCAGGAAGCTACAGCTTCACACTCCCCCTAGAGAACCACCAGTCCATTCCCCACAGATCACTTGAGGAAGGGATAGAAGAAAAGGGGCATTAAACACATAAGCAATAAAGTCAAAATGGCACAGAGGGATGTACTTAACCACAGAGACTGTCGGTATAATCTGGGGAAAAGATCACTGGCTAATGGGGGGGATGGAGCCAATGCAATCCCTCAAAATCTTGGGAAGTTAATTGGTTATTTTGAACAAACTCCTAGTTAAAATCCCAGGAGAGGAAGAGCATTCTCACTCTCTCTTACTGGTGACCTGCACTTGCCCTGTTCATTGTGTTCTCTCCTGCCCAGAGCATGCAACCATATGGGTCTACTGGCCACCTGGGTTCCACAGTAGATTGAGGGGGCTCTGAAGGACTATGAAGCAGAAACTCTGGGCACTGGCCTTTGCCTTGGCCTTGGTGAAGACATGTTGTACATGGAAGGAGATGGCACATTAGAAACCCAGGGGTAGGGGGGGTTATCACAAATAAACCATGCCACCATACCACAATCTCATGTGTGTGGATCCTTGAAATGCTTTCCTTGCGATCCCATGGAAGAGCCTGATTTCCACCAACACCAACACTATTTCTTTGCTGAGCTCAGCTTTTAAGCTGCAGTACTTTAATGTTTTTATATTTACTCTAAAATTTTCCTTCCTTGGAATGTTCTCCAATCTCTAAACTTACATGCAGTTTATATACACAATTTGTCTCTCATTTCCTTGATTGCATTACTCATCTTGAGTATAAATATTTGTTGAGAACTAGCATTTGTTGACTTCCATGGGACTTAAACAAGTTCCAAATATGAGTCTCATGGATATATTTAAGACTTCATTGTTAGAAACTCCAAAAAGAAAAATTTAGGGAATATCTTTCTACTGAATGAGCATATCTCATGTTTTTGTTTTTGTTTTGTTTTTTTATAGAAAGGAAACCTGTATGTCCTTTCAGAACGGGAACAGTCCTCTTGAATTTACAAATACATTTCCATTTTCACTACTCATCTTATGCAATTATTTGTTTATTCAGATGACTGAAAGATAAAACTGTGGTATCAAGGAACAACTAGGTGTTTTGGGTTTTTTTAAGAATTAATATATTTTCAATTTATTACAGGCACTATTAAGAAAGTGGGTGACATGGCAGTAAATTATTAATTCTTTCTTCACTGTTATAATCATAATCAAGCTTATCTGTTATTATTCTGGACTATATTTAAAGAGCTCTTTTACTCTTAATACATATTATCCAAGTCTATATCTCTTTCTCTCTATACCCCATTATTTCCTCTTCAATAGCCACATTAGATTTGAGCAAATTTTAGCTTCATTACAGAAAAATTTATAAAGAGTTATAGTTATCTAAAATTTAAAAAGTTGCATCAATAATAGTGAGCATCCCAGTAAAGAGTAAATTACTACTTATAGTGATGATGTTAGAGAGATTTCTGTATTTTAAGTTTGATTTATTTTCTATAATTCCAAGTCTCTATTGTTATGTTTTAAGAAAATAGTCTACACCAGTGATGGCAAACCTATGACATACGTGTCAGAGGTGACACGCGAACTCATTTTTTGGTTGAGTTTTCTTTGTTAAATGACATTTAAATATATAAAATAAATATCAAAAATATGTCTTTGTTTTAATATGGTTGCAAATATCAAAAAATTTCTATATGTGACATGGCACCAGAGTTAAGTTAGGGTTTTTCAAAATGCTGACACACCAAGCTCAAAAGGTTTACCATCACTGATCTACACTATAATGTCTAAACAATAAGGTCTGGAATTGAAGATTTTTATAACTATGTTATCAATAATGTTCTAACAGCTAATTTGCTGATATTAAATAGAAATTATTTTTATAAAAGTTTTTTCATCCTACTCAATAGGCAAATTGCACAACATAAGAGGAATAGAAGTCTATTATATAACACATGCAAGCAACATATGGATGAAGTTAGAATATTTCATTTACAGAAATATAAAATATAGACTACAGTAATTCTCTTCTTCCCATAAGGGACTAGGGAAAAAAATATAATTTACATTTTATGCCATTTTCTCTTCATCTCTTCTTTTAAATAGCTCTTTTATTTTCTATACTAGAGGCCCGGTGCATGAAATTCATGCGGTGGGGGGGTGGAGGAAGGGACCCCCCAGGGGATGGCCGACTGCCAGTTTAGGTCTGATCCTGGGGATCGGGCCTAAACCGGCAGTTGGACATCCTTCTCACAATCCAGGACTGCTGGCTCTTAACTGCTCACCTGCCTGCCTGCCTGACCACCCCTAACTGGTCCCTCTGCCAGCCTGATCACCCCTAACTGCCTCTGCCTGCCAGCCTGATCACCCCTAACTGCCCCTCCCTGCCAGCCTGGTCCCCCTTGCCAGCATGATTGCCCCCAACGGCCCCCCTACCAGCCTGGTCGCCCCACGCAGCCTGCTGCTCAGTCGTTTGGTTGTCCCTCACTAACCCCCCTGCTGGCCTTGTCGCCCCACTCAGACTGTTCAGTTTTTTTGGATGTGACAGCCCCGGGCTCTTTATATATATATATACATATATAGATGTGACTACCAAGATTTTTAAATTGAAAAATAAAAGCCTTTGAATCATACTTCAGAAATTATTGTTTCATTTTATACTTTCTTAATAATCTGGCAGCAAGGTGAAAAATTATGTATTTCCCCAAGACAAAATCCTTGCTTAATAGTTATGTTAAGCAAGCTTAATATAACTATCCTGATACTTGGAATTCTCTCTGATCCAATCCAGATTCTCCAACAACACTTCCACTTAGACACATGGAGATTCATTATATAATTTCTTTATATTACCAGTAGGGAAGCAGAACTATTGTGCCATTGCAGCAGAAGCAATTTGCCAGAAGAAAAATTTGAATTGCATTTTGACGTTAGAATAGTGTGTAACATGTTTATCCAAGGAGATTCACTGACCTTATTATTTTAGCTCATTGTTTACTTCTAAAATTCAGATTTCTTTTATCCAAAATATTTTGAAGATTTGATATATGTGTAGAGTTTCGATAATGCATATTCCCTTTGCTAGGAATTTCATGTAGCATTTAAGAGACTTTAATTACTCTTGATAAAATCAGAAGAATAATTATGGCAACATCCCTGTTTCTTAATATGAGTTTAATTATTCTGTTATGGTTATATCAGTAATACTGTTTTCTGATATGGGATACTTTTGCCCAGTGCTTATCAGTAGATTTACTGCCTAGAGATTTTCAATATCATGTGAAGTATGTAATGAATAAACAATAAAGCTAAAATGTTTCCTTTTCTGCTTTGTTTCAAGACTTAGGGAAACATGACAGAAGTAGATCTATGTTAATTCCACCTACCCTTTGATATTTAAAGAGAGGAGTGAAATGAGAGGGATCTCCTCAGTAGGATTGTAAGGGAAATGTGGTCTCTTCTACACTTTTATCAGCAAGTTAGAATTCTTATTTCATATTTCATGCAAGTTTTAAATCCATTCTGCATTTGTTTTTAATTAACAGCCACTACCCCTTTGTGATGATCAAACTTATATCTTCTTTTGTTTTCTGGTGAAAAAAATGGTTACTTTTCACTTTTCTTGTAAAATGAATGTGACAAGATATGATAAGATCAAATAATGATTGCATGAAGCACTGAGACATGTACCCTGAAATGGATGGATTGAAGAATATTTTTTAAACCCAAACAAAATTATTTTCTATTAAAAGGTCCCTCTAAATTACCAAAGAATAAAATGGAAATATGAACATGAAATGAGCCAGATATTAAAAATAAAGAGAAATATAAATAATATAAAAACAAAAATCTTCATATGAGTAAAAATGAGGCTCAATGTGTTCAGGAAAACTAACTAACAAAAGTGGATTTTAGCTAGCAATTTGAAGCTGCTGATGTGTTTTGCAGATTCCCAAAGTTGATACAGTTCTCCCTCCCACAACTCTGGCATGTATATAAACTCTGAGCTCTCCAAAGCCTACTACCAGTTCTCTTCCTGGACGAACTGCAACGGAGAGGCTAAAGATGATTCCTTTCTTATCCATATTTTCTCCTCTCTTGCTGGTTGTTGTTAACCCTGCAAATGCCAATGGTCATTATGACAAAATTTTGGCTCATAGCCGTATCAGAGGCCGAGATCAGGGGTAAGTCAAGTTATAACCACCCCCCACCCCCACCTTAACTTATTGTATGTACAATGATGTATATTTTTTCTACTTATTACAAAGTAATAAGAAAAAAATGAGTAGTCTGTAATTTTATGTTTTAAATGTTAAGAATTACTTTCAAAATAACTGTGTATAATTGCTTTTTATGAAATGTTATATAATTTGAATCTAATTTAACAGGGCATTTCTTTATGATGTCATTTATTTGTGTTTTTATTTTCTTCCAAAAATCTGGCATAAGATTTTCAAAGTTAAAGAATCTGTGGTTAGAGATTTTCATTATGTAAACAGCTATGAAATATCTCACATGATGTTAGGGAAATTTTTAAGTTTTGTATAAAAATTAAATAATGGGTAATGTAACAAGGTCCCTGAATTTTTTGAAGCATTTAAGATGCTTTTAAATATTAGATTCAGTAAAATTACCAGACAATTTATATTTCTTAGAATAAATTCAGCTACAAGTTAGCATTTTGAAAGTTATGTCATAATTTAATATCTTAACCAACCATTTAGAATTTTTTTGAAAAGAATCTTGGCACTTCTTCCTGTGTCTTAGAGGGATTTTCATAATGCTCAAAAGCTCCATGCCTTACAGTGCAAATAAGACTTCCATCTATTTAAGAGAGAAAAACACTTAAAATATTGCAAAAGATATTCTAATCTATTATCTCAATTCAAAGAAATAAATTTTCCTTTGTGCAGCAATATTATTTAATGTTAATTCTAGCCCTCATTTCATTTTATGATGGCTTACCTAGAAATTTGCAGAATATAGTGTCTGTGAACATAGTAAAACTTGTATCTTTTATTCTGTAGTCTCTCATTATTTCAGGGAGCCCTAAAGGCTCCCCTATACTCAAATTGATCACGTGTTTAGCTTAAAAAGAGTCAATGGATTATTTACAATTAAAAGTAATGAGATATGTGAAAACAAAATTACATTAAACTTAATACTGCTTTTATAATGCTATTAGATTAACTTTTGGTACACTGACATTTTATTCTCAGAGATATATCATTTCTCTTTCACATAGATTTTAGTTTTTCCAATGATTCAGTAAGATTGAATAAAATTCAGGTTTGTGCAAGACTTTAATTACATCCTTAAAAATCAAATCCACCTGTTAACTCTTTTTGTAACCATTTTACTGGTAGATTTTTTAAAAAAAAAAACTACAGGTAAATGTCTTTATGACAATTCTCCTTCTTTTCTTCTCTCTTTCAAGCCCAAATGTCTGTGCCCTTCAACAGATTTTAGGCACCAAAAAGAAATACTTCAGCACTTGTAGAAACTGGTATCAAGGTGCCATCTGTGGAAAGAAAACGTAAGTCTCATCTTTTTCTTAAAGTGCCAGCTCCAAAGACAACACCGTGATGTCTGTCTTTCCTTGGGCATACCTCCTCCATTTTTCTTGAAAAACCTCTCCCAAATTGTGAGCTTCCTAAAAAAGGAACGGATCACATACATGAATGAAGAAATTCTCCCTGTATTTCTCCATATACTAGTGGAATTCTCATTCCTGAACCTATGTTTCATATAGGTTCAAAGGAGGCAAGTCACATGGCAATATGATTTGGTATAGAATCTGTGTGAGAGGTTGGCTATGTAATTTTTACTCCCTCTTTTCTCTTAGGCAAGTCATTTAACCTTTATGCCCCGGATTTTTTGTTTAAAAAATGGGCTAGAAGAGCAAAATGACCTGACATATTAGGGGTTTTGAGTCACAAATTAATGCTTACCTACAGTTATTTGGAAATTATCTAAAGTACTCTAACTGACCTCAGAGTTTTTATCAAAGCTAAAGTTAAAAGGATTTGAATATTTCAACTCTTCATTTAATTCCAAACCACCAGATTCCCAGCCCACCACTATAGACAAAAAGTCCACCACTATAGTCCAAAAGACAATTGCTCTTTTAGTTATATTTTTCACTGATTAACTTAAAATTGGAAAGCATGTTTTATTGCTTGATAAACCTGCCTATTGGTTTAATCTACACTAATAAAAGACAAACATGCAAATTGACCATACCTTAGCTACACCTTAAGCCATGCCCACCAGCCAATCAGAGCGACTATATGCAAATTAACCCAACCAAGATGGCAGCCAGCAGCCACGGAGCTGGAGCAAGCAGGAGGCTTGGTTGCCTCAATGATGGAGGAAGCCAAGCTTCCCGCTTGCCGTGGCCTGGCTCTGAGCTCCACTCAAAGCAACAAAGTTTCAATTATAGAAGGTAAATAAACCCCAGATACTTGCTTTCAGCTGGCTGTGGCCACAGAGCTGGAGCGAGTAGGAGGCTTCCCTCTCACCTGTCCTGGCCAGCTCTGAGCTCCTCTCAAGGCTACAAAATTTCAATTATAGAAGGTAAATAAATCCCAGAATTTAAAAAAGAAAGAAAAAAAGTAGAGGCTGGGAGCTTCAGTTTCTGGGGGGCTTGGCCAGCCTGAAAATGGCCCTCAGCCCCTCACCCAGACTTACTTTTTGACTAAAACATTATTTCTGTTAGTTTGCAGACATTTGGTAGACTTGTGAGTCATTCACACATTTACAATTACAATTACAAATCAGTAGTGATAATGATCTTGGCCATGATGCAGGCCAGGCCCCAGCTGGAAACTCCAAGGCTCTAGATTCAAAATCTTTGTTCTTTATATTCTTGATTATCATGAGGCATATTTGGAATACACACTAAGTATAATAGAAAGGACCTGTTTTCTGACATATTTAGGGAAAATCTTTACTATATCCTCAAACTAATATAAATACCTTAGTGTCAAAAATAAACAAATGATTGATTTCTGGATTCTAAAAATTTCATAGCATATGCTTTACAAAATTTATGTCAAAATGTATTCTATGTAGTTCCCATTTTAATATTGATTTTCTTCCAATGCACAGGACTGTGCTATATGAATGTTGCCCTGGTTATACGAGAATGGAAGGAGTGAAAGGCTGCCCAGCAGGTAAAATTTTAGTTACTGAATTAAATGAGAAATTTGTATTGTTTGAAGAAAAAGGTTGAAGTAGCTTGTAGAGAAGTCAAGTGTGTGTGTGTGTGTGTGTGTGTGTGTGTGTGTGTGTGTTTATACTTCCTAACTATGCCCCCATATATTTGTGTTAATCACTAATTTATCATGGTGGTAAAATATTACAATGTGCTTTGGATACACTGAATGCTGTACAATGCAACAGACACTTAAATTATTTTAAGTTTCCTTCATGAACAAAAATTTCCTCTAAAAATCTATTTCTTTGAACTTGTCTAGAAACATGTAGCTATTTAGAAAGGCAACTTTTTTTTCTAATTGGACAGCTCTGGTCTTATAATATTCCTCATATTGAAAGTTGGTTACCTAAAACTCTGTCTACTAGAGGAAAAAAACAGTTAATCAATTTCCTCTTTGAAATGGTAGCTATTCTGATATTCAGCACCAACCATCACAACATTTCTCCAGCTACCCTCTCTTCTCCAACAGAATCTTCTCTTTTCTGGGGGAAGTGGGAGCCAACCCTACTTCCTCTAATGTTGCATAGACTTTGGATGTCTCACCATCACATACACCGACTCATAAAAAAAACCCCAGTCCAGTCATCTATTTTCTGATTTTGATCCCAGACTGGTGTTTACAATTCAAGTGGTTTCAAGAAGCTGAGAGACTATCAAGACAAATATCTCACTTTTGGGTGCCCCTACACTTGTGTTAATGTAATTGGTTACCGTGTCATATCATTAACTCATATTGAATTTGCAAATCAATTAAAATTTATTACAGGCCTTGTTTATATGAACACTATCCAATCAGGTCATTCTCAAGATTTTTGTTTTTAACTTAAGCATAGAACTTGCATGGAACCCTGCTATATTTAATCTGTTAATTTTGACTCATTTTCTCCATCTTGTTGGAGTATTTTTAAATCCTGATTTTATGCTTAATATATTAATTATATCACCTTATTATAATCACAGCTTTAATAATCATTTATCCAATGAGATTGTCCAAAGTAGACTAATTTTCAAATATGATAGAATTATAAAAAATAAGTTTCTGCACCAAGCTTAAGTTTGATATTGATATATTAATCTTTCTTCTGGAAGTCCAAGAGAGCTATTCTGAACATGTAAGATACTTTGATCTATTTCTTTTTTGGTGATTAAAAGAAGCAGGTCTGTATATTTCTTTTAAGTACCCAAATCTATCAAAATTATATTTCTATACATAACAATAACATACTATTTAAGAACTTTAAGCCAACATGAGAGAAAATACCACTTTTGCCATGAAATAATCAGAGATATTTACTGATGATTATAATTGAGCTATTATTGACATAGAAATATTGACACCTAAACAGACTACATGTTAAACTAAAATGATTATTTAAAATTCATTATTTTGTCACAAGTATATACACAAAGGGTATATGAAATAATAGGTTTCAATAGTATTTTATTATTTAGCACTCAAAAGGCAGTTTTCATATAAAATTGATAAGTAATAGAGTTTTATTGCTAAAATTATCAATTCAATGTATTGGGGAACTTACCAATAGTGTAAAGTTTAAATGCTTATAAAATAATATCCTTGAAATAATATCCTAAATTCTTATTTATTTCTTTATTATTTCAGTTTTGCCTATTGACAATGTTTATGGTACTCTGGGCATTGTGGGAGCCACCACAACACAACACTATTCTGATGTCTCAAAATTGAGAGAAGAGATCGAAGGAAAAGGATCATTCACTTACTTTGCACCAAGTAATGAAGCTTGGAACAACTTGGATTCTGTAATTCATTACTTTTTTAAATATAATTATTTTTGTTGTCATTATTATTTTATTTTTAATTGCTTTATTAACTTGGAAATTAATAGAAGTTTACTAGTATATCTTTCAACTATACATATATAAAGATACATAAAAGGATAAGTTATTGAGGGTAAGGAATAAGTCATTTTCATATATCCATATATAAAATCCAGCATCCTCATAGCTTAATAAAGAAAAGGCAAACCAAAAATGGACTACTGAACTAGCACTTATTATTATTCTATTTTACTCCTTTACTCTTTCTTTTTTGGTTGTGAGAAAATATATGTAATTTTAAAAAAATTTAAATATATTTTTATTGATTTCAGAGAGGAAGGGAGAGGCAGAGAGAGATGGAAACATCAGTAATGAGAGAGAATCATTAATTGGCTGCCTCCTGCATGCCCCCTATTGGGGATCAAGCCACAACTCAGGCATATGCCTTGACTGGGAATGGAACTTCTTGGTTCCTGGGTTGATCCTCAACCACTGAGCCACACCCAGCCGGGCAATATATGTAACTTTGATCTATCTAATAGAAAGGTAAGAAGCTTAGTGAAATTTTGAATTTATTATATTTTATAGATATATTTTATTATTTTGAGTATATGTAAATATATATAACTATTTAGAGATTGACAGATTTATAAACACATGTATGAATATTTAAATGAAGTGTTGTAAACAATGCATTTGATTTTCAGACATTTTGTGAATAGTCTGATTTACACACACCAAATTATGACCCAGTTCCCAAATCTGTAAAACTGGAATCAAAATGTATTTCTACTTTCTACTTGATGAATTGATAATTGCTACTACAGTAAAAAAATATATATATATTTGGTAAAATTTAGGCAGATTCCTCTGGATAGTATCTTGTAACTTTGTGGTTAATTGCTTGCATTATAGAACTCTATCTTCTGGTTGTCTTTAACCACATTTCTTTTGCTGACTCCTCTTCTTCCTTGCCTTAAGGATGGGTGTTATTACAGTCTATGCAGTAGACTTTCCTCTTTATATACACTTTTGATGACTTCATCTATTACTTTAGCGCAAATAACATGATATCTATGTTTCTTGTACTTGCTCTAATGTACATCTTAATATTGCTCTTTGGATACATCATCTGTATCTTTAAACAAAAGGTATCTACAACATATACATTTTTTTCTCTCCATAAACAATTGTTTTTCTCTTTTTCCACAATTGGCAGTAGCAGTTTCAGTGTTTAGACTTGGATATTGTAAGTCATCCTTACCTCTTTTCTCTCCAGTTCTTACAAACTAGTTAGTAACCCATATCCCATGTTTCATACTTTTAATACCCTCACGTTTGCTGTACAATACCACCCCATTAACCTTCCTAAGGCCCATTCTAATTATTATAATCCAATGCCACAAATCTTCAGTGGCTTCCCATTGTCAGTTTAATTTACACTTTACTCAGGCATTAATGTTTGATATGTTATTGCCCCACATACTTTTCTTAATATTATCAGAGAAACTCAAATATGTGCTAACCCCACTAGATAATTTCTGCTCTCTTAATATTTATCAACTTGACTCAGAATGATCATTGCACCATTTCTATCCTATCTACCCTTCAAGGCCTATCTGCAAACCTTGAAAAGCTGGCTTTCCTCATTTGATTACTGAAATATTTTTCCACCTTCTATCCTCTATCTTATTGTGCTTTTTGTTGCATGCTATTATGTGATAAGTACCTTAAAAGTAGAAACTTCACCGTATCTATCATTGTACTTCCCATAGCACCATGTACACCATGATATCATATATAATTTTGGATGAATAAAAAGGTACAGAATGTTTGAATTCTAAAATTTGTTTTTTTAATTTGTTTTTGAATAAACATAAAATCATTTATTAAATTCAAATATTGTATACAATGTAATGTTTTTGTTTTACTACTCAAAATAATTTAAATGTCTGATAATTGTATATCCCTGTATGCCTTTACTTTATCAATATATACAGTTAAAATATATTTTGTCTCTAAAAATGCCCAAGCACTCTACCAGATTCAGGACCTTAACTGAATACCTATACTTACAAAATTCCTTAATTAATTGAAATAATAAAATAAGTTATTTATGACAGTTTGGTTTGCTCAGCTGGACAATGCAAAGATAAATTAATGAGAGGAGTGATAGTGTAATTATAAGAATATTAGTAATGAATCACAATAAAATAAACTTCTATAATTTTAATTTTTCCTAGGATATCCGTAGAGGTTTGGAGAGCAATGTAAATGTTGAATTATTGAATGCTTTACATAGCCACATGGTTAATAAGCGAATATTAACCAAAGACTTAAAAAATGGTATGATTGTTCCTTCGATGTATAACAATTTGGGGCTTTTCATTAACCATTATCCTAATGGGGTAAGTTTCACTAGTAAACAGTACATTTCTAAGTAATGTTGCCCTTAATTTTTTCTGTACTATTTATATAATGTTCACAGAGCTAATAAAAGTTAGTAAATATAGGTGCCATATCATGATTTTGCCCCATGTTTAGGGCAGGTACATTATTGATTCAGTGACTGATTGTGAGGAATAAATTAAATTAACAATAGACTTAGATGTTCTAAAAGAGGACATCTTAGTAGTTGATGAGTTTAAAAAAATAGTAATCAGAGAAAAATAATAAATAATAATTTATCAGAGAGTGTGTCAAAGAATAATCAGGGAATGAGAATTCCCTTTATTCAGCCTCTGGCTACTATACTGTGTTAGGTTCTTGCGTATTTAGATAAGAGTCTTTGCGTAAAACTTACAAGTTCATAGGACTCTTTCAACAGTCAAATTTCCAGAGTCAAAAAGTATCACTGAAGAGGAAATATTTAGGACATTATTAGAATCAAACTGAGTATATTTATATAATAATTGTTTTTCACTCTTAGAATTTATTTTAGGACTATTTAGAGGCCCGATGCACAAAATTCATGCAAGAGTAGGCCTTCTTTCCCTCAGCTGCTGGCACCGGCTTCCCTCTGGCACCTGGGACCCGGGCTTCCCTCGCAGCCCCAGCTTCATCCAGAAGGACAGAAGGATGTCCAGAAGGACGTCCAGTCTAATTAGCATATTATGCTTTTATTATTATAGATTGCTCTACATTAGAAATAGTTGATTACTATATCTATAAAAGAAAAAAAAGAATTAAAGTAATAATTCAAATGAAAAAAATGCTTTTTTTATATCTTATGATATGTTAAGTCTTATTTCTTTTTTATGTATAGCAATATGCAAGTTTTTATTTTCAGAATTTATATTCAGAATGTATCTTTCTTTATGTTAACTTTCTTAGTATAAATTAAAAATAGGGAATGAGCTTGCTGTCTCAGTAGTCAATGGATAGCTCTGATTCTTGCACTTTGATTTTCCCAAATAATTATAGGTTGTCACTGTTAATTGTGCTCGAATCATCCATGGGAACCAGATTGCAACAAATGGTGTTGTACATGTCATTGACCGTGTCCTTACACAAATTGGTACCTCAATTCAAGACTTCATTGAAGCAGAAGATGACCTCTCATCTTTTAGGGTAAGAACAAGAAGCAACAGTAGATTGTCATGGATCATTGAAATTCCTTCTCTTTCTCTGTTGGAATCTAAAAACAATAAAATGCTATTAAACAAATCTGGCAGAAAGACAACAAATATATTTCTTGAAATGAAAAGTTTTCATTTTACATAGAATAAATCATCTCATATGAAATAATATTTAGGTGGACAACATAGATGAAAATGATTAGTTACATGACTGCAGTATATTTATTACATTTACAATGTGTACATCTTAGTTATTTTATGTACTGCTGGATATTGCCACAGTCATACAAACAATGGCAGAATTGTCATTTTTTACAGACAGCTTGAAAAAAGGAAAGGACATAGTTGGTGTGCCAAAAAGTACTATAACGTTTCTATACAGTACTATAGAGCAAACTTTTATAGTTTTCTATACAATGAGCTCATTCTTGTCAGCCTAGGCTAAGTGTCTTGCAATTTTCTTTTGGATTTGTAATGTGCAAGCATCTAAAAAGTACATTTGTGTTTTAGGCAGCAGCCATCACATCTGATATATTGGAAGCCCTTGGAAGAGATGGTCACTTCACACTCTTTGCCCCCACCAATGAGGCCTTTGAGAAACTTCCACGAGGTGTCCTAGAAAGGATCATGGGAGACAAAGTGGCTTCTGAAGGTACAAAAATGTTTTCCTATATGGGAAGCTTCCCAGAATTTCAAGAAGAAAATACAAAAAAGAGATTGCCATGCTAAAGTTATCAGTTTTGATAAGCAAAGACAAAGAAAAAAATTTAAGTGAACTATAAAAATCTTAAAAAAACAAAGTCTTTGAAAACATATGCAGAGTAATTTAATAACTAATTTACTAATTAAAGTAATTAAAATAATAATATTCTAAAGATTACACTTTTGTACTATTTTCAAGTAAGTAAATAGCAACATTAAAAGAATCAGCAAGTATAGAAAAGGTATCCTAAACCATCAAATTTTAATATTATATACATATTATTAAATGTTCTTAATTATAAACTTATGCTAAAAAATATGATTGAGTTAAATAAATTGCATGGTTCTCTTGGGCCATTACTTATTGATGTATAAAATTTGTATTCTTTCCAGTCTCCTTTTCTATTTTCAAATAGATTTTACATTGTGACTAATACATTTCACTTAGCCTCTTCCAAAATACATGTAAACAATTTAAAATTAGAATTTTGAAAATTCAGATATAAAAATAATATAGTTGAAGCATTGATCCCTTGAGATATCCTTCAAAAATAATCTTTACTTTAAATACTTTCTATATGTTGTCTTTAGGGAATTCTTTGTCTTGCCTTCAGTTTCTATTAATTGCTTTACAAATTTATGTACAGGTATTCTGTTATGAGTGGTTAATGCAAGATACTGCTCATGTGTTTTGGGACTAATATCAGTTAACAAATAACTTTACAGGCCTTCTGAATGGAACAAATTTATTTTTTTGCTTTCACATCAAAAAGTGCTTTTTTATGATAGTGGGGACTTGATCCAACACATTTTGTTAGTATTATACAAATTATTTCATGCAACTTATCTTCTTTTCTTCTTCCTACTGAGCTGAGCTTTGTCTGTTATATAGTTGATGAAAAAAATTATAAGAACTTCAACAGACTTTGAAAACATTTAGTTAATCTTTAGATAAGATATATATATTTCTTATAAATACTTAGTTTCATAGTGAAACAAGTTTTTTAAGGGTCAAATTCTATTTCCCTTGATATGAATACTTTCTCTTTTTATTCTGTCCTTCAGCTCTCATGAAATATCACATTTTAAACACTCTCCAGTGTTCTGAGGCCATTACAGGAGGAGCAGTCTTTGAGACTCTGGAAGGAAACACAATTGAGATAGGATGTGATGGTGACAGCATAACAGTAAATGGAATAAAAATGGTGAACAAAAAAGATATTGTGACAAACAATGGTGTTATTCATTTGATTGATCAGGTCCTAATTCCTGATTCTGGTGAGTAACAGTTTCATAATCTTCTAATTATTATTGTTTATCAATTATGACGCCTCAAGAGTAAGTCCATGAAAGATGAATATGTAGTACTAGAGGCCTGTTGCACGAAAAGATTCATGCAATAGGCTTTCCCTTCCCCTGGCTGCCTGCACTGGTTTTCCTTCGGCACCGGGGACCCAGGCATACGGTCCGGCCAGAGCTGCTTTCAAAGCCTTCGCTGCTCCGGCCATAGCAACCTTGATCGCTGCTCTGGCGGGAGCCACCTTCAAAACCTTCGCTGTTCCAGCTGGACCCACTTTCAGTTTTCGCTCCGCCTCGCACCTACATATGCATATCTCGCTGATTAGCCCATGGGAAGCATAGCAAAGGTACGGTCAGTTACCCTGTTTGTCTATTATTAGATAGGATAAGGAATGACATGTGAAACACAAACACAAAATAAATAGTGAGTGAACTGAGTGCTAAATAGTTAACCTGTGGAGTCATGGGCACTCCATGCATGCAAACTTGGGTTTCTAGGATTTCTAATACCTAATACTTATAAGGGTTCTTATAGTGTCAAATATTTCTTAAAAACACAAAGGAAAGATATAGCTAAATGATCATCTTTGAATAAATGAAAGAACTATGGTACTCACAAGAGTAAAGTCTAGCCCTAACCGGTTTGGCTCAGTGGATAGAGCATAGGTTTGCAGACTGAAAGGTCCCAGGTTCCATTCCAGTCGAGGGCATGTACCTTGTTTGTAAGCACATCACCAGTAGGGGGTGTGCAGGAGGCAGCTGATTGATGTTTCTCTCTCTTCGATGTTTCTAACTCTCTATCCCTCTCTCTTCCCCTCTGTAAACAATCAATAAAATATATATTTTTTAAAAAGAGTAGAGTCTAGAGGTGAGCAATAGAGAATTAAAGAACATTAAAAGCAAGAAGACAGAAAGATATTTTCCTTCTAAAATGTTTTGATGTTATTAATTCCCTAAAAGGGAAGCTGGAATTCTTACTAAAGAAAGGCAGGATGTCTTATTAAATTGTCAGTGCAACAAATAGCTTATAGAAAACAGCCAATAATTAACCTACTAATTTTATGGTGATGATAACACTGACATTTTGGAAATTGTGATGGTTTATTTTACAGCCAAACAAGTTATTGAGCTTGCTGGAAATCAACAAACCACTTTTGCAGACCTCATAGCCCAGTTAGGTTTGGCATCTGCTCTGAGGCCAGATGGAGAATATACTTTGCTGGCACCTGTGAATAATGCATTTTCTGGTATGTACTACTGGAATGTCATTCC